TTTTATTTTATATGTACATTATAATTAGAAATTAGAAATATATTTTTTAAGTTTTAAGTAATGTTTTTGTTGTAAGTTATTTGTTTAATTTTTATTATTAATTGTAATTAATAGCTATTATTGTAATTAAGTCTAAGTTTACTGTTAAATCGTTAAGTTATTTATATGAAAGAAAAATAATTGTTTGTTTTGTGATAAGAAATAAGTGATACTGTATAAAAAACAATCATTTAAGTGCTGTCATTAAAATACATAATTAAAGGTATGTCAGGGTATAATCTGATTATTTATTTTCAACTATAAATCTGTTTTTAAATATCATATTCTTGTATATGTTTTTTGTGTGAAATTTTACATCATTTTCATGATAACGTTTTACATTATATTAATCGTCGGAATAGTACTGCATTCATATCACACATCATATATTGTAAAACAAACTATTATTTTATAAACACATTAATATACACCATGTTATTGAGAAATATATTCTTGTTGTAGAGAATATTATACATGAAATATATAAATCACTTTTTAGTAAAATATAAAAATAAGCCTGTTAAAATCTATATAAAAAACGTGATTTATTGATCATTATTATTAATTCTACTATAAATCAATTGTATATTTACATGAATTCAAAAATTATTTATTGTTTCAAAAACTAAATAAATGTATACTAAATACAATTGACATGTATTAACGTTTATTTGATAAAATATTAAATAAATGATTTAGAATTAAATAATAGTTTTTTTGATTAAAATGATATGAAATTGATTATTTAGGGGTTATTAATATTTGTACCTGTATATGTTACAAGTGTTGTTAAACGACACAAATGTTAAAATTTCCATAAAATATCAATTTATTTATTAGATTTTATACAAAAAGTGATAAATTGTAGTTAAGAGTTGTGCTTGATCAAATTGACATTGCTCGGGTTTAGTGCAAAAAGTTCTACAAACTGCTGTTAATACTCACGAGAGGGTAATCTGTGCCTTAAAATCAGAATTCGTTTTCAGACATTCATTCATATCGATTGCAATTGCTAGCAATACTGGGAACTAATCCAGGTCTTATTTTGTCACTCAACTACTACACAATTAAATCTTATTTTGCCACTAAAATCATTCTCAAAATTAGTATATCTTACTCGGTTATATGTATCTATTACTGTACAGTATATTAAAACAGGGAACTTAAAAACTGGTCAAAGTAGTAGTCAAATCATATTACAACATCATTTCATTATATAAATTAATAATTTGGTTAACAATTAAATACTGCAATTAAATGCTATAATAAGGGAAACATTTAAAATATTTTAAGACATAACAATACTAACAAAACATTTGCATAAAAGTGTATAAAAATCTCAAATCAAAAGTATAACTCAAAACTCAGTGCCGAAGACATGATTCCGTAGCCAAGGAATGACAGACCGAGATCACCGATCAGGGGAGGTATGATCTGAGCACCGGGTGGTCAGAGGTTTAGGCCCAATCGTATCCCATGGGGTGGTCAACGGCGTGCATACAACAGGTACCTGAGGTACCGTACTATCTCTGATCGTGCGATTCCTGTTCGCACTACTGGTGCTCGGGTACGGCCTATGGGTCTACACCCAAGTGCGTCACACGAGACGCCTTATACCCCGCGACCGCACCCGCACTCAGACCAACAGACTGGCCATCTATTACGGCATATATGTCCTTCTGGTCGTCATATATGGCTCATTCTGCACCGGTAGTCGCACTCCTCCACCATTTGGACGGCGACGGCAACAGTAGCCGCGAGGGTTCCGTAGATATGTGTTTAGGTGTCGGTGCGCTCTCATAGCAAATACAAAGTGTTTGGCATTTAAAGCAAAAAATCAAAAAAGTTATGATTAAAAGTTTGGTGTATGACATACAGTTTAATAGTTAATTAATTAATATGTAAATTGAAATTATTATTTATATTTGACAATAATTTTTTATATAATTGCTTGTTACATAAAGTAACACTATTAAGCAGGGTACATGATACAGTGATTAATTTAATTATAATTTGATTATTTGAATATTAAGAATTTGATTATAATTTATAATACTACCGGTACTATTTTGAAAAATAATTTTATGTGTATAGAATCTCTCCAATGAATTGATCATGCAACAAATATTTAATTAGTAAATTGATTGTCAATTGAGGGGCAGATGAGTGAGTGGCTGTTAACTGACATTTCCTGTCAATTCAATGAATTGTGATGTCTTTGTAATCCCATTTGCATCCCTCATGAGTGCCAACACTAACACCACATGATTTCACATTTGCTATGTAAATGACAATCACTAATAATTTACATCACAATTAACAACAAAAAGTACACAAAAATAGCATTTACTTGACAAAGCTTTTAGTTAGAAATTGAGTTGAATTATATTTCCAAGAACCGTAAAAATATCATTTTTGCATTTTATATGTTTTTATTTTAAGTTTTTTTGCCAATTGGTTGTGAAATGATTTATAAAAGGAAAGGGTTGTCAAATAGTATTAGTCCTAAACCTCCCGCATAATTTATTTATCACATCTTATATCGTATAAAGTATTGGCAATAATTGCCTGTTAATTATAAAAGTCATTTATCTGTAATTGTTTGTCACATTCATGTGTTATTTGATTTGATTGAGTCCTTGAGCAGCGATGGTTAGGGCCAATGAATTGCCACAAATATGCCATCATTTAATCAATTTAAATAATCAATTCACATAAATGTTTATCACACTATGTGTGCACAATATAATGCAAACGTTTGCTTAATAATAGCAAAGGACTACCAAAAGTGTTTGAATTTTAATTCGCAAAATCAGAGTCAAGTTATCAGTACTTGAAAACGACAACTAGTTTCGTGTCCATCACAACAATGAATAAATTACTAATTTCTCGTTTTGTAGACTATTTGGTACTTTTTTGGTGCCTTATATTAGTGTCATTGCAATTCACTGTGGGGTCGGTCGACGCCTATGACAAAAGTATGCCTTTCAATGGTTATTCATTTTAATTAGTTATTAAAAAAGGAGACAAAACTTTTCATTTAGTCTCTCAATTTAATTAAGGCTAGACTCTAATGAATTGTTTGAAACAACAAAAATAAACAATTCATTATAGTGTATGTGCGCTGTAATAAAGTTTATTAAATGAAATTTTTGTGTCCCTAAGGTATAAACCTAACGGTGTCTACGGGGGAGACCACGCAATTGAAATGTCCAATCAGTGCCGATGATGTCGACACTAATTTGGTAATTAATTGATTACTTTTTTGTCGACTAATTAAATAATATTGTCGATTTTTGAAATATAAATCATGTTGTATTTGCAAAACTGGTAATTATTTTCTCAATTAAAAAGTTTGCCTAAAGTATTAAAAGTTTATAATTTAATTAATTGATGTTGTATTGTACATAACTTCTATATACATCTAGGATAAATTCAATGAAATTATTGTTTAATATTGAAAATATATTTAAGATTTGGATTTACTATTGAAGGTGACATGGATTAGGAAAAGGGACGGACATATACTGAGCATTGAACGTATCAAATACACGACTGACCCCAGATTTACACCACTTTTCGATGGCAATCATTGGGTTCTTAGGATCAAAAATAT